TCAAAATAAAGATAATAAAATGGGGTTTAAGTCCTGATACCGTGTTTGACTTTGAAGATGTTGGTTAGGAAGATCCTGATTTGTGTAATAGCAGCTTAAAACAACATCTGGAAGACAGATCAGTGCTTCACAGTGCATGTGTGTATTTGACAGAGAAGCAGTAGGTCATTGTTGTGAATCTACCTTGGTGTATTGAGAAGCTGATTTGAAATAGTCCCTGTTTGGTGTATAAAAGGGGTAAAGTATCAGAAATATCCCTAGTGAGTGATTTCACAGTTGTTATCTGTGGAATGCAGCTTGCCATTGCCCTACCTTTCTGTCTTTTGACATAGTCTGTTGTATTTTTAATTATTCTGCTCTGACATGTTTTTTTATAGGGCTGGAAGTGTTTATTAGTAAAGGAAAAAAGAGCTATTAGCTGATTCCTCTTGTTTGATGAAATCTTAAATAGCTGTATGTAATGGAATTAAATCAGGAATCCTGCTAAAGCAGTGACTTTTATGGCTGTATTAATGTTTGTAATTTATTTTGAGAACAGATTTAATTTTGATGCCTTCTTTGATCAAGTAATGAAAAGGTAAACAAGTTTACTAAAATGAGTTGTAGAAATATGTCTCCTACAAACCTTTATCCCTGTAAACAGAGAAGATGGGTATGCTTGCTGTTTGCTGAGATAACAAGAAGAAAAACCTTGAAAGTTTTCTTAATGGTTTCTTAAAAGTAATGTCTTTTATTCAGGCTTGATATCAAAATGAGGAGCCCTTATCAGGTTTTACTGAACTGCAGTAAAACAGATCTCCCACCTTCTTATACTGCAGTGAGTGCTGGGCTCAGGACACCATTACGCTAGTGTGTGGTGCCAGCTGATTAAAGTTTTAACTAAAATATAGTAATGCTACACTGGGAGCTGCTGGATTTTCACGTTTTGGATAAAGATTATTTTCAGAAGTATGGTGTAGGGACTCTACAAGAAAACACTTTAAATACTGCCAATCACATATCATTTCAGCCACTTGCTCCTTTCCACAAAAGGAAAACCACATCTACATCAAGAACCAAATCGTGATGTAGTCTGCAGAAAGTTTCTTTACCTGCCCTTGATTCTGCTGCGGCCTGGAGTTAGGGAAGCTGAAGGGACAATTTTCTGTTGGCTGATCCAGCTTCAGTTGATACATTTGACTTTCCTGTTGCTCAGTTGCATTTGTATAGTGGGAAGGGAATGTTTTACCATGTACACAGTTTGAGATTATAATTTGGAAGCACAATATTTACACAAGTAGTTTGTTTGTTTTTTCAGGGCTATGAAGTATAAAAGTTATAGTGACACTGGATTAAAAAGAAAAACTTAAGTTTGATTTCTAAATATCTGCTGGTGTTATGTAACCTGGTATTAAAACACAAACATGTCTTTGCAAGGTGGTGGTTGTTTGGGTTTAAACCGTTTCCTCTGAAAGTGATGCTGGTTTTATTTAATCGTAGAGTCTTATTGTATTCTGTTACAGTTAACTACATTGAGCACAATACTCTAATGCGGAAAAGACTATCAAAGATAATAACTATGAAACACTGAGTGAACATTTCATACATAAGTACTTGTCATGGTTCTCTATTTTAAAATTCTCTTCTCTTCTGGTTGCGATGCTTCTTACATGCTGATAGTGACATATCCTTGTTTTCTTCATATTTTTCCTAGGTGATCTTATCAACTCCAACAGTAGGCTTTGCATTAGTCTTCAAAATAAATATATCTGGAGTCTTGAATAGTCTCAATCCCAACAGTTTGACGTGCATTTCTGACAAACCTTGTATTTCTGAAAATTGGCTTGAATTGGTCAAATACAAGTAGTCCTTAAGGAAACAGTTATCTTGATACAGATATGTATGTATGTAAATTAGTCAAGTAAAAAGTAGGTAAACTTTTTAAAATATGTATAATATGAAGTCTTTTTACAAGAAAGACTGCATGAGGATGGGATTATCTCTTAGTCATGGAAATCGGAAAATCACTGGATGTGTAATACTAAGGCAGATCAAGTAATGAACAGTATGAATTTAAGAGTTTATCATGAGCACGGACTTCAAGGGCTGCTACTGGACTCCCATCACTTCGCTGTGCGTGATTGAACAATATGCAGTGGAAAATGAAAAGATTTCTAAAAGCTAAAATGTCAAGCCTTTTATTATATCCATAAACTAAAGAAGATCAATAAAATACTCAAACTAGTATCTTATCTATTATTTGTACGCCTTTCTGCAGTGAACCTCTGTAACTGGTAATGTTCAGTCTGAACAATGTGTTTAATAAAGTAGATAAGAACCTAAACGTAAGGGTAGGTGTAAAAAAAATTGGTCTTACAAATGTTATTTAAAATTCTAGGCAAAGTACATATCTAGCCTAGGCTATTTTAAAGATAGATGGAAATAGTGGGGTTTTTAACTGTAAGAAAAGAGTTACGATGCTATCTAGTATCACATTTAAGTTAGTCATATCTGTTGCTTTTAAGAAAGAAGATAAAGTACTTGTACATGAAGGAAATATGTGTAATTATTTTTTGAATCTGTTTTGCTATATTTGCCAACTAAAATTGAGGCAAATGCTTATATTGGTGATTTCCTTTTGCAATTACTAATGGTAAGACCTACATTAATATTTTTCTAAGCACTTACATGTCTAGGCATTATATCCCTCAAAGTTTAAATGAAACTAAAGCACAGTTAGCAAATCAACCATGTAGATGAGCAATACTGCTTTGATTCTTCAATATGATCTAGAATTCCAAAGAATATACTAAAATTAAATGTAAAAATGATCCTCTGGGAAAAAAAAATATTGCTGTTACTGACATTCAGTGTATGTTTGGAAGCAGAATTACACATTTGCTGTGTTGCTTTTAGTTCAAAAAACCCAAACACAATATCCAGTACCTTTAGTAACTCCAAAAGCAATGAGTTACTGTGAAATGTGTTCATCTGATTCGTGTCAATATAAACAATGCTAGGGCCGCATTATAAAATGTGACCCTCACTGTCTTTAACCATTTTGCTGGTCCTGCTATAACCGCAGGCCGGGAAGAGAAAACCGGCTTTGTTGTTAACTGCACAAGTGTTGAACAAGAGATCCTAAGGGAAAACTGAGGCATTTAGGTGTATAGTTAGCCTCAGAGATTGCAGTACTTGGAATCTTGATGGGCTGTTTTGTTGTATGCATTTGTTGAGGGGGAGGTGTCTGTTGTGAACTTGTTTGGGTTCTGGTGACCGCAGCTGGTGCTGTGCAAGGTGTCAACAGTTACACAGGATGTCTGCTGTCTGGCGAACGGTGGGGAGCCCGGTCAGAGATAAGTTTCTAGGCACCCACGCAACCAGGAGATGGAGAAGGACATGCCTAGTATGTAACAAATGTTAGATTATAAAAGAAGCTGTTTTGTTTTTCACAGTGCGCGTCTTGGTAGAGCAGAAGCTCCCAGCGCGCCCAGCGCTGTTTGCTTGCCTTTATTCATTTAATAAATTGTTAACTTTGATTGGAATCCTGTTTGAGACAAAATTCATTTATCACAGTTACTAAAATCTTGGAGAAGATATTCTTGACTTTTTATCAGAGATGCTCATACTTGTTACATCTTATTCAATCATTGGAATTATCACTAGAGATTAATTTTTAAAATGGCGGTAGCTTAAACATCAGATTAATAAAGTTAGTGTTGTTTTTACTTGTTTCTACTATTCTGCATCTAACTTTAGTGACAACAAGCAAACTAGTTGATTAATTTTGTAGGGGTAAGAGTGACATTTGTAGTAGAACCATCTAGTTTGCAAACTTGCAAATAACCAAGGAGTGGTACAGTTTATAAATTCAGGTCTTCGTTTTCTATTGTTGTGGTGTTTTTTCTGGTCAGGTCCGGGAAGCCTTCCTGTGTTGCCTCCAAACACTTAAGTCACTATGTCCTATTGACCTGAAGATACTGCTCTTCTGAGTTTCTTGAGTCCACCTGTTTTTTAACAGGGCTCGGGTAGTATGGAGCAAAGTGAGACCCACTTGGATATGAGCACGTTTCTCACTGTTAGCATTATGGAGTAAATTGGTCATGGGAGTGGTCTCTTTTTTCCCAGTCTGGCTTAGTCATTGGAGGGCATGACACAACATTTTTGCCAGAATTAAGATTTGTGGTTTTGAGAATGGGGAATCTTGACTTATTTTCCAGGCTTTGGAAGAGTGTTACCTAGTTGTCCAAGAATCTTCTTCTATCTCTTGATTCTCTCTTTGTCTTATCTCAGTGTTTGCCCAGCTTGTCACCATTCCCACCGACTTGTTGACCTTACTCCTCATATTCCTTTTCTTATTGCTACATGCCTGCAGCCAGCACCTCAAGCCTCTCATGTCTGTAACCAGTGCTAGTCAAACCTCTTCTCTTCTACTATTCAAGCCACTGAAGTACATAGGAACAACACTTTTAATGTGACCATTGGGAGTGTGTACAAGAATAATCCTCTTCTGCTAATGTATGAACTCTCCAAATATGTTAGCTGTTGAACTTTTAACCAGCTTTTTGAATATGTGAAATTTCAGTTCAGGTCATTCAAGTTTAATAAATCAATCAGTTAAAATCAGTTGCTCATAATGGAAAGTCTTAAGAAACTGAAGGTGTAGGTGTGAACATCATGGCTGTGCATGATATGACAAGTTGTTTCTTAATGTCATGGCCAAATGTGTAGCTTCACAGCTGTTTTTTGGTGCTGTGTGGGTTCAGCAGTCACGCACATCGCACAAATTAGAACTTTTGTAAAATATTTCATAACACATCTGCCATCTTGCAATTACGAAGATATTTTTTTTACGCTTATTCCGTAATTTTTGCTAAACAGTTCAGCAGCAGCAATTTCCTTTTCTTTTTATTGTTTTGGGGGGAGGGAGAAGAAAGGGAGCTTTATCTGAGCTCATCGTTACAGCTTCAGTACAGTGTTTTACTGACATTTATGGCATGCTGATTTTCTCTCCCTTTCAGAAGAGAAACCTGATTGCTCCAAGGCCCGCTGTGAAGTCCAGTTTTCTCCTCGCTGTCCAGAAGATTCCATCTTGATTGAAGGCTATGCTCCTCCTGGTGAATGCTGTCCACTCCCGAGCCGTTGTGTGTGTAATCCTGCAGGCTGCTTGAGGAAGGTTTGCCAGCCTGGCTATTTGAACATTTTGGTTTCTAAGGCATCAGGAAAGCCAGGGGAATGCTGTGATCTCTATGAATGTAAACCAGGTAAAAGTGGACGTGATGGGGTTTTTTTCATTTTTTGATTTTTTTCTGTCTGACAAGCACAATAACCTATATAATTCCATCTAATAAAGCCTATATAGTCTCTAAATTCTTCTGATTCTTCTTCAAAATTAAAATGATTATATGTGGGCAATACCCATTCAAAAAGAAAAACCTATGATAAATTTTACTTTCTTTTTTCCTTCAGACATTAATTTAAACTGAGCAACAAGGGAGAAGTAGCCTAGTGAGAATATTGCATTTCTGTGGATGCTACTAGTAAAAGTGACATACTTAATATACTGATTAGATTATATAAAGGATTTTCATACTAGGAGTATATTGTGCATGAGCAGGGAATTAAGGTTTCTGTCTTAAGATTTCTCTAGATTACAAAATGATGACCCTTAAAAACTGCAGAGCAAAAGGATTGTGGAGGAGCATAGTGAAAGACTTAACAACATTTTCAGTATTTACCCATTTTCCATTTCATAAGAACACAAATCACTCTTTCTTGTGATTTATTATTCTTGGTGAGGTGAAAGTTGTAATTCACCCTTCTTTTTAACCAGGCTTTGGTAAAGACGAATAATAAAAATAGAGGGATGAAAGCAGGCATGTAAAATTGTATAATCCAAAATCTTACATGCAAACAGGTTCAAGTATGCTTGGGCTGTGCCTTTCCTATGCTTGTTTAACATTTTCTTAAATCCTCCACAGAAGAAGACTGTACAGTCTCTGTATCTTCTAGTGCTTTTCTTTGTGTTTTCCTAATATCCAATGCAAAGCTGCCTGTGTGGAGATCTAAGCAAACTTTTTCATTCTCTGTCCTGGGTAGTTGGTGAACAAGTCTTTATAATTTTTGCTCTGGAACATTTTGTCAACCTTAGTCTTCTTTCATCTAGAATTAGCTGTAATTTCTTAGGGCATAGTTTCCTTGGACGCCTTCCTGGTTATGTCACCCCTCTGTAAGTTTTCTTAAGTTTATCCACGTCTTTAGTCTGCTTTTGGACACCACATTTTACTGTTTTCAGTGAGTCTTCATCAGCACTAAATACTGTGGAATAATTACTTTGTCTTTCATGCAAAATTCTAAATAAAAGCTGACTCTTTTGCAGGAGTTATATTTAGTTTGTGAAGTGCTGTGATCCCAAGATCTTTCTGTAGCATGACTGTTACTGAACCACTGTATTTGTACATTTTAATTCTTCCTACATATACTTCAGGTGTACCTTTACTGAATTTTATCGTGCTGACTTTGGTTTATTTATTTATATATCAAAATAAATGTTAACTCTGATCATGTCATCCCGACTGTTATTTGCATTCCCGTCCTTTAGTTTGCAAATAACTCAGTCTAAACTTACCTTTGTAGGTTATTTCTGGAAGGTTGTTTTCAGCTTGTTAGTATTACAAAATCTTCAAATTGAGTATGTGATTATTTACTGCGTTAGTGGATTTATGTAACTGTGTATGTTGTTTTCTGAAGTAGTTTGTATTTTTTGTTGTAGCAAGTTAAGAGGTGAAGGTACATGCGACTGGGAAAATGAAGATGCATGTTAGGAGGGTAGAAGAGCAGAGGCTTTGAAGAGATTGGGGGTGGAGACTTATGGAATTTAAGGGAAGTGTAGAGCTTTGCAATGGGGGTCAGAAACTGAGAGGCTAAAGGAAAGCAGAGACTTCTTCCCTACCTTGGGAGATGATGAAAGTGTATTTCTTAGGCAGTGGCTACGAGGCTGAGGAGTGTAGGTGGGTACTCTTGTGCATCCCTGCAGTGATAGGTGGTGAAAGATGTAATCGCTAAACTACAAACTACAGAGTAAGCGGGGCCCATACTTGTTGCAGTGCCTCGGCTTTAGGGAAGAAAAAGGGAGTGCTATTAATATGGAATTATTAGCCACTACATAGCCTAATTTTTGTCAAGTTAGACTTTAGTGGCTGTTCAAGGTGACTTTTATAACTTTGGTCTAGACGTTTCTTTCGTTTGCTGTTTGACATAGTGGGAAGATCACAAAAGAAAAACAAGCCAACACAAGACTGGAAGACAGGGAAAGGAGTAGCTGAATGTTAATAAATCTTAGTAGAGTACAAATTACTTAACACAGAAGAATTTATTTTTTTTTGAAATGGCAAGTCTTTGCAAATCTGAATTTTTTTCAGTTTTCAAAGGAACCTCATTTTCAAAGAGTATAAACTGTACTTGTATAGACAACATAATTTGTGCTTGATATACAAAGAAAATTAGAGACTGAATAAATACTGAAATCTTTTGTTTGTTTGTTTCCCTCTTTGTAGAAAGTTTAGAGATTTTGTTTGTAAATTTGCAAGTCAGCATGAACCCTGCTGATTTTTTCCATCCAAATTTTTCCATCATGTTCACCACTGTCTGTGGTTTTAAATAAATTTCTTTGTTTAAGAACAGGCAATGGAATATCTTGTTTTATTAGGATTGTATATTTATATTCATAGGCTTATAGAATTATAGAATAATTTAGGTTGGAAGGCTAGATGACTCTGGAGGTAATCTAGTCCATCCTGCCTCTCCTGCACTTTTTTTATGCCATTTATTCTCTGTATATATACATGAACTACTTTATATGTAGTAGCACATAACTGTTTTCATGTATGTATGAACATTATGTGAATTATCTTTGTGGATTTGCTGAAATAGTGGTCATAATGTGAAGTCAGAGAATGTTCCTTACATGACAGGAATATTTATTCAGTACATGGTAAGCCTGATAATAAACCTTGTGTCTTCAAAGTTTGACTTGGTAACCTGAAGAGTTGTAGGAAAGAAGAGTTGGAGAAGAACTGAACTAGCAGTGCTCTGTTTCATGTTTCCTCTGTTTTTAATGTTGCTGAAAAAAAAATGGGATAATGGACAGTATAAGGGCTGGTAGATAAGTGTTCATGCAGAGTTTCTTATGGGTCTAATGTCACTAGTTTTACTGAATGGTGTCAGCATGTCTATGGAGTTTACATGTCAAATAGAGAAAACTGTTTTCCATGCTTTGCTACAGACCTGAAAACTTTAGTTCTGTGAGTGCTGCTGCCAGAATCCTGTTCCTGCACCTCTGTGTCTGCTTAACCAGTCTTTATAGGGGTTTTGCACCAGCAAAGGCCTTCTGGTGGAAACAAATTGACAGAAGGTGGGAGGACTGCTTCCTTTGATAGCAGTGCTGCCTTATGCCAATATAAAGTGTTTGCGCAATCAAAGCATAAAATGTGTTTATTTCTGTTCCTTAAATAAGATGTCACTGCTCTCCAGTTTACAGTGGCATTTGAGTTTGGAGCCTTCTGCTGAGAACTGCATATGTTCAAATACTGTGGTTGGCAACTGAGTTGCTGAAAGGAAAATAGGAAGTGTTTCCTTAACACTAAATGCTAGAATAAAAATAAAATCTTTCATTTTGTGATCCACTTTCTCTTCTACCTCTTTTACTTTAGGAATGCAATGATTAAAGGCATTGGCATTCAGTTAAAATTAACAGTGAAGAAACTTAGTAGCTTAGTCATACCTGTGTATTAACCTCCGGATTGATTTGTATTGAAGTTCTTACCCGTTGCTCCACCAAGCATCTCCCCACAGTTGTACCTACTGAGAACAAGTATGTCGTGTCCCTTTTGTTTCGCTGTGGTTGCTAAGCTCAGAGGTGAGATAACACTGGTTTGGCGTCATAAGCAACCTGCTTTGTTCCTACGAGCTGTGTGTAACTGGCCTTTCATGAGCAGTGAATTAACTGAATGAGCAATGAATTTCATTTTAAGCTGGGAGTTACAGTTCTTAAAAAGTATTCTCAAAAGTAAGGGTTTTTTTCTTAAAGATAGTTTGAATGAATGGTCTCAAATGGAGCTGCATAATGTTTTAACAGTAAAAATAAAAAGAACCTGAATCAAAATTTGTGGGAGTATATGTGCCTCTTTTGCTAAGAAGCTAAAACAGTATGAGCAATGATGTTTTTAAAATCATGGTTGTTTATTTAAAGATGAACTTAAAATCTAACCTAAAAGGTATTTTGCTGAAGTTGTGATAGGAACTCTAGCTGCCACTTCTGAATAAAGAAAGGTAAATAGTTTACTTTGGCAGTTATCTGACAGATGTTTGTTGTACCTTTATTGATAACTTTGTTATTGTTGTATATGGTGAGATGGGGAGTGTCATCTCTTAGTTTCTGACATCCTTGAGAAAGCATTGGGAAATGTCTGTCATACTAGACAGAACCTCTGTTGAAAAGACCACTCATTTGTCATTCTTCTAGCAGTCTTTCTGGCAGAGCTTTCATACACGCACCTTCTCCAGCACCCCTGCATGGCTTGAAAATTACTCTTACTGAAATGGAGGGGTTTTTTTCTGGTACCAAATCTTGTTTTAAACACAATTTTAAAGAGAGTGTTATTGTTTGGCTTATTTCTTTGGGGAATTCTGTGCAGTCAGGGCTTGATGGAAAGTCTGAGATCAGCAGCAAAATTTAGTAGGTAGCGTGTAATGATGCACAGGGAAGTAACTTGTGGTCCACCCTGGTACAGCTTCAGCTTTGAAAATCAGGTCTGGAATTTTTACAGTCTTGCACCAAGGACAAGGGTCAGCAAAATCAAGTTTTTGTACATAGTTGAGAGAAACAGGATTATATAATCTCTTTTTATTCTCTGTTGCTTATAGAAATAGTACATGTTTTATTGGATGCTTTGTAGAAACTGATGTTGGGAGGTCTTAAGAGATGAGATTGGGAAAGGACTGGAGAAAATGAGTGGGGAAGAATTATAGATACGTTTCTAATTGAGCTAGAGAAATGGCTTATAAGTTGACAATGATGGTGAGGGAGGAAAAAGAAAATCAGCAAATGCAGGGGTCCATGTTGGGAAATACCTGCGATAGGGGAGTTAAGGAAGTGATTCAGACAGTGATACAATTGTATTGAAAGTCCAGGAACGCCATCTGTTCTGGTTGTATTTAATACATTCTGAAGTGTGAAGGAATGTGAAAAGGATGATGCACTGTCATGGAGAGACACTTTCATGCTTTCTTTCTCCTTCTCCCAGAGCAGAAAGTGTAAATACCATTACCTGATGTAGTAGTGTTGCGTTGCATTATTCATGAGGGATCAGAAATGCATCTGAACTGAAAGCAAAGGGTGTTGTGTGATGCTTCTTAGCTGCTGTAGAAGCAAACTGTGTACCCTTGTACTGGACCCTCAGAAAGCTGTGACTTCTGGAAAAATATGAAGTCTTTCCTGTGCTGAGCCACTGTGTTGCATCAGAGATGCAAATACTGCCTTGATCCTGGACCTTTAGATGCATAGGTAGCTATTCAGATCTTGCCCCTAAACTGTACATACTATTTGTTGAAAAGCCAGCATAATATTTAAAGGTGAAACTTAATATGCTTGTGTTAATGTATTCTACTATAAAGTCATTTTCACCTAGGTATTAACAGCCTCATGATCAGAGACCTTTGGTTTTGTAGTCTACAAAGGAGGTTGTAGATTAACGCAGCTATGTCAGGGTCTGCAATCATGGTAGGGTTTCTGCTACATTCTTGTAGAAAAATTAGTAACTCTCAGATGCTACGGTATACAAATTCACTGCGTGAGAAAGTTCCTGAAGACTTGTAAGCAAAGGTTGATCAGGTGCATCTTTACTAATAGGAAATTGCAGCGTGTTTGAGTTCTGGAAGATATATATTTGTCGAACTATATATGTAAAGCTTAAAGTTTCTACGATAGGCAAAAATAATTTTATTTAGACAGGATTTTAATTGTTTTTAGTTCATAATAAAATATATAATAACAGCTTGTAATAAACCTGTTCATGAAAAGGTCACTTTGTAATTATTGGAGTCAGAGTAAGATGTGAAAACAAAAGCAGTATTTCAGTGGCAAATGTTTTCAGTCTTATTTTTTAAGATGGTTGTACAGCTAATCTGGGGGATATCACTTTAAGTAATGAAGAATCCGATTACAGACTGTGCTGTAACCTTACAATATTTTCAGGTTATCTGGAAGTTTGGTTCAATGCTTTTTTGAGTTTGAGAAACCCATTTAAATCTGAAAAAAAGTAGGAACTTTTTCCTTCTTCAAATATCCTTCATCCCTTATCTCTCCATCTCTCTCTCCTGTGAGGAAGGGCTTGAGAGAGCTGGGACTGTTCAGCCTGGACAAGAGAAGCTCAGGGCGGATCTCTGCAATGTATATAAATACCTGAAGGGAGGGTGTAAAGAAGACGGAGCCAGACTCTTTTCAGTGGAGCCCAGTGATAGGGCAAGAAGCAATGGGCACAAACTGAAAGACAGGGGCTTCCCTCTGAACATCAGGAAACACTTTTTCACCGTGAGGTTGACGGAGCACTGGCATGCGTTGCCCAGAGAGGTGGTGGGGTCTCCATCCTTGGAGATGCTCAGAAGTCATCTAAACACAGTCCTGGGCAACCAGATCTATGTGGCCTGTCTTGGGAAGGGGATTGGACCAGATGACCTCCAGAGGTCCCGTTCCATGATGAATATTGTAATAATAAAAATCTCCCAATTTGGAGAGAAGTCTGGGGTGCAGTATGAGTGTGGATTATAAAATTCTGCAGGTGGTGGATGAGCTCAGTGCATACCCTTTGTTCACCAAATCCTACTAATCCTTACAAGAATTGGAGGGCGCTCTGGTACTAGTAAGAGATCAGGATAAAATAAATAGAAATGGGTAAGTCAAATAGGGGAACCACTGAGTGACTACAGCTGCTTAATTACATGAGAATTTTCTATTTGAATGCACTTGCTTTGGCGTTTGTTTGTAATTTTTCTCAGGTTTGTACTTTTTTTAATAAAGGAGGACTGTTTGGGCTGCTTTTCAGTGTTAGTGAGCCATGGACTAGCACACTATAGCCACTGGAAAGAATTTGAACTACTTAAGAAGAAAGAGCACCTTACTTGAGACATGGTGGCGTGATTAGGGAATTTCCTTGTGTTTTTTTTTCTTTCGTTGTCATTGCTGATATATGGAAAGATAGACACAGAAATAGCTGTGCAGTAGCAGCTTATTGCTAGAACTTGTTGGCTGTTTTTTCCCAGACTGCTTACCTGGGGAGAAGGCGGAGGGGACCTTGAATCCAGGGAGGTAGAAAGGTTAGTAGTTTAATTTCAGGAAACTGGACATTGGTAGTTACTTGGTACAACAGAATCATGCAAATTGTATTGGTCGCGTTGGGCCATACTGACAAGCTCACGATTCTCAATGCCTGTTGTGATAATGGAGGAACTAGATGTATATTTCTTACAGAAGAGCTGTCTCAAATGTGTTATTTGTTAATAAAATGGAACATAAAACTCTACTTTTTTTTCAAGTGAAATATTATGAAATTAAGTATTCCTGTCTTAAAGGCAAACAGGTATATTTGTGTGTTTACGAAGAGATATAAAAGTTAATTCGATGATTGCTACTGTCAAGATGAGTAACTGGAATCTTTTTATTTAACTTTAGTAACTTTCTGCATTGCTCCACAAAATGGGCTTTTATTAAATTTGTGCATTTCTCGGTGAGAACTTCTTGAACTTGTCAGGTTGCTTTTATTTAGCAGATTGCTCCGTTTCTCAAATAACTGGAAAAAGGCAGATTCTGAATATGGCTTACACAGAGGATACGGATATGCACATACTCATGTACTTTGAAAGTTAATGGTCTTGAGGACAAACTTACTGGTCCTAACCTTGATGAGCTGCAAACTGGTTTCACTGAACTTGTGTTTTCATTTAAATGCTTAATGAGATACGCTAAGTAGATGTAATTCTGAGACTGATGTCTCATTATGACCGATTGAATTATTATTGCTGTGTACCTCTGTGGATCAAGACTGAAAAATGTAGGACTAGGAAGACAGAAAATGGGACTTTGAAAAGTATCAGCTCTTGCAAGAAGTGTGGTGTAGCATTGCCAAGGTGCTTTAACACTGCAGTAAGCAGTCGTAATAGTGTCAATACTGAAGTGAAGTTTAATCAGTAATCAGGGATATTGTACTGTATAATTTTCAGTGTGATAACATTCTGTTCATCCTGCCTACTCGGTAGGTAGCTTATTTCTTTAAAGAGGGAACCATGTTTTATTCTGTACTTCCTTCGTATAATTAAGATAAGAGATAGCAAATAGATAAAGCCTGAGCTGGTATTGTTTGTTAACATGAGAGATTTAGGACCAAATAAGATAAAAATGTGTTTCATCTTTCCTGAGTATAACTCATAGGATTAAATGTATATTCAGCCTGATTTTTTTTTTTTGCATTTCTAAGCATTTATTGCTTTCTAAAAAGCATCAGTCAGTCTTACTAGTTATGTGGAATTCTTCATCTCATTAATGCAGATAGATTTGGTAATTTGCATTTCATTTTTGCCATATATAAACACCTAAACAACTCAACCTAATGGAATAATCCTTAAAAATGTAGTTTACACGTGCAGGCATAAATTGACAGTGGATCTTTAATTTTTTTTTTTTATTTCCTATAACTCTGGTATTTTACTGTTTAAACAGACTTTAATCAAGAAAAAAATTAATGAATTGTTTACTGTTTTAAAAGCTGTGGGGAAAATATATTCTCAGTAACCTAGTATCTTTCTAGTAACTAATATTATTCACAGGTCTAATGATTGTTTAAGGCTGCCCGTCTAACTTTTAGAAATTTTTTATTAACAAGTATTAGCTTAGTTGCTTCCCAAGTCAATAGTTTAAAAAAATGAATCTTAAAGAGAAAGGAAGTCTTTTTGTAATGTTACCTACCAAGCATGCATTCACTAGATAATTTTTCTGACTTAAAAGGCCGATGCATAACTGGTTGCTTATGATGAAGTAATTTGCAAAAAGCTTCTAAAGCATGAGTAAAAGGAATTTTCTTTTCCCCTTCCTCCGTAGTGTTCAGTGTGGATTGCAGCACAGTCGAATGTCCTCCTGTTCAGCAAGTTGTTTGCCCACTGGATAGCTATGAAACCCAAGTCAGGCTGACGGCTGATGGCTGCTGTACCCTGCCCACAAGGTTGGTGTCTTGATGGCTGAGTATTTTTAACTTGTTCTCTACAATTCAAGTACTCTAAATACTTGCACAATAATGCATACTTCTGTGGCAATAAATGTTAATACAGAATAAAAGATATGTGAAGTAGGTTAAAGGATATCAGGCAAATACAAATACAAAATCTATCTTTCTGAAGCAGAAAAAAATTCTTCTCAATGCAAATGCATGAAGCAGATTTTTGCTAAAACTGAGAGATTTGTGCCTCTAGATTGATTTTTCAGTGTATTCAATTTTACAAAACTAAAGTCCTTTGAGAAACATTTGAAGGTCTTTGTAAGGAATTAAATGATGGAGATGGCAGAAGACATGCTCGAGAAAATTTTGCCTAGTTAGAGAAAAATTTTTTTTTTTTTTTGTATGTGGAAGACCACTGTAAGAAGCTGAAAGACAGTGGCTATCTGGAACAGTAAGGAGACAGAAATTTCAAGTACTCACTTCCATTTTACTTCTGTTATTGTTCAAGTAGGTATAATTTATTACAACTCAGAAAAATAAGACAATCTGGAGTTGGTTTTGTTCCAAAGTTCTGCACAACTGTTTCAACTTATGTTTTTACAACAGACTTCCCAAAAACCAATTCAGCAATATGCCCAATAAATACGAATTCAAGCAAAAAGTACCATCAATGAAAATATTTTACACAAAAAAGAAAGTATTTCTTGTAGATGTAGCTAGTAGGTTTATTTGGTATAAAGGTCTTCGCACCATACAATATTGCCATATTCTCAACCCCTTGTGAGATTGTAAAGGAGCGATAAACTTGCAAAGAATTCAGAAAGTAGAAAATGGCAAAGGTTGTGTAATGAATCAGGGGTCTTCCCTGTTGGGTACCCTTCGGGTAGACATGTAATATGGTGACTTCTTTACAGCTGTTGTTTCCATGAAATATGAGGGTCTCTTATTGAATGGAGAGTTAAAAACACATCTATTTAAAAAAAAAAATAAGAATTAAGGTAGAAAGAGGTGTGAAGAACTTCATATAGTGCAGTAATCCTGTCTATTAAAATTTGAAAATATATTTCTAAATTGATAAATTTTATTTGTAATTGTAGAATACATGTAGTAGTTTGCTGCTTAAAAAAATACTTCTTATTCAGTGAATGCTACAAATGTTCTTTCAGTCAGAGTTGTTTTCTTTTTTCTGTTTTCTGAATTTTGGACCAGAACATGGTATGGATTCTCAGTATCCTCCCTTTATTCTTTAACATATTGTTATTAACCTTCCTAAGAATTACGATAACTTAGTATTAGTTGAGAGCTGACCTGGCTAGTTGGGATTGCACAGGAGGCTGTAGATTTTAAGCAGTCATCGTACTTGCATTGCTGCCAGTACAGCTCAGCATGTTCAAGACAACTAGAATAAAATGCTACTAAGGACTGTGTTCGGAAAGATACAGTCAAAGAAGCAATCTCAGATTAAAATTTCATAAATTTCTAGTTTAGATTAACACCCAAACATTGACACAATAGAAAACTTAGATTTATGGTAGATTTTTACTTCCAAATTTGTTTCAACTTGCTGGATTAAAAAGTGATATATAGGCCAAATTATTTTTGTTTCCCAAAAGTAAAATTGTGTTCTATTTTTCTGCAATCTAATTTAAGTTGTGGTTTGATTTTTCTATTGCTTGAGTGAAGGGAATGAAAAATACCCACTTTATTCTTTGTAGATGGTAACTTCAGTGTTCCTTCTATCAGGGAACATAGAGTACCAAGAAAGTAAAACTTCATTTACTTCAGAGAAATGACCAGTTGGAAATATTTTCTATTTCTAGCACACACAAGGGAACTGATCTTAAATAAAACACCTAGTGCAAACATATCCATGAAAGAATCTTTTTCTTTCTTTGATAATGTTTAAAAATATAACCAGTTGGTTTGCTGTGTATTAACTGTAACTGATGTCTGAAGCATACTTGTACATGTGCGTGGTAATTGAGTGGCAAAACCAGTATTCTCAGCTCCTGCACACAAAGACCCCAATTGTACAAGCAGGCTTAGAGTGTGTGAATTATTAGATAATTGTGAATTGCACTGAAACCTCTTGGAAATCAGATTGCTGTGCATTACTGGGATCAGAGTTTAACAAGGGATTAGAGCTGGGATAGGTAAGTTCTTAGCTCCTGGAGTCTTATGATCGGATCTCGAGACGGGTTGTGTTAATATCTCTGTCCTCCTTGAGGTGTAAAACTGAAAAAACCCCACCCCATAATTAGCATAACCTAGTCTGTCTGCAGGCAGGTTGAAACAATTATAGGTATCTTGCACTTCTCCATTAATTTTTAATTTTGTGGCTCAGTTCATGTTGCTGTATATAGTTATTATGTGGGTTGCTAGATTTTTGGATTGCCTTAATTTAGCAAAAGCAATAATGCATTTTTTAGTAGAGTTAGGTGAGAAGGAAAAAAGAAAAGCTGAATCTGGCAGCAATAAGATTGTATAGATGCTTTACATGTTGTGTGCCTGCTAGAAATGTATTTAGTTATTGTCGTGGTTTAACCCCAGCCAGCAACTAAGCACCACGCAGCCGCTCACTCACTCCCCCCCCATCCAGTGGGATGGGGGAGAAAATCAGGAAAAGAAGTAAAACTCCTGGGTTGAGATAAGAACGATTTAATAGAACAGAAAAGAAGAAACTAATAATGATAATGATAACACTAATAAAATGACAACAGTAGTAATAAAAGGATTGGAATGTACAAATGATGCGCAGGGCAATTGCTCACCACCCAGCCAGTCCCCGAGTGG